AAAAAAGACGAAGGAATTACGACGCTGTTATTATTTAATATTATTATTTGAACTTGAACAAAGATTTGTGTTTTTTTCTTCTTCTGTATATTTCTCAATCATACCCATAGATCGACACTAACAATGACTATGACTGTTAATCAATATTTTAATAAGACCAGATGTTTGGTTTTTCATGCTGAAGAAAAAACAAGTGATAAGACGTATTATTATTATATTTATATAGATAGGACAATTTGATAACGAGGTGAATTAAGTTCATCCATAACATCAATTTTTTGGCCTCTAAATCTTCAATATTCAGAAAAGTCACTATCAAAAAATTAGTAGAGTTGTAATACTACATGTCAAATAAAGTTATTCTTATAGTTCCGGTTTAGACACGCATTTTTACACACACACACACAAAGAGTGAAAGACAGAGAGAGAGAGAGAAACAACAAGAAATAATGAACCAGTTGTATTGAATTGATGAATTTTACTTTTCATCATTAAAAGCATTGAATCAAATAAAACACAACGCATTTTCAAGAATAATTTAAGCAAATAAATGGTAATGAATATAAATAGTTTTTGCGTCTGTGTAAAATTTAATAGAAAAAAACATGATGATAAAAAGCACATGTCTCGATTGGGAATCGAACGTAGTTATAAGTATTTGTACGTTCACAATCGATTGCTGATCATCAATAAACTTCTCTCTATCTATTACAGAGCTCATCAATACAGATTATAATGCGTGTCTAATCAATTTATGAGTATTAGATGAAAATGACAAAAATAATCCATGACATAAAATATTTTAAATCAATTTTTGCTGTTTTTTGCCAGTGATTGAAACAAAATATTGCACCCAAAGTGTCGAGCAGAGTTTCTACTGAATACTCAGTGGCTCTTCGAACTTTTCAAGTTTTTAAATAATTCATATAAAAGATGGTTGTTTCTTTCATTTTACTAATTTCAATGTGCAAAAAAAAACAACTCTAGATGATACAATGTGCTTGACTTATGAGCTGTTTGGTGAAGAGGATATATTTTGGCTAAAACTGTAAGTAATATGGGAGAAAACTAGCTAAAATCGCGGTTGATTCAAAACATCGCTGAGAATTCAGTAGAAACACTGCTGGAAGTTTTCGGTACAATATTTTCTTTCAATCACTGACGAAAAACAGCAAAAATTGTTTAAAATATTTCTTTTAAAAAAGTGTTTCCATAAGATTGATACACTAGTGGATTTAAAACTGTTTTTTGAAAGTTAAAAGTTGAGAAAATGTCTAAAAAAGTTGATATAGTTAAAACCCTAGTTATTATAACTATAAACCGAAGCACCGTTATAACTATCAAGTCGGATTGATCGATATAACTGCGGTTGAAAGAGTTATAACTCCAAATGGATAGTGTGATAACTGCTCTAACTACAGTTGAAACTACATCAGTTTTAGTAATGACTATCAACTCAAAATAAAATTACAAAAGCTTATTTCAGTTTGTATTATGACACAGTTATAATTAAAGTTGAAATAGTTATAACTTTTTCAACTGTAGTTATATCAGTTAACACTATATAACGGAGTTATTACTATCAACCGTGATTGATAGTTATAACTATTGTAAATTTTTGATTAAAAGTTAAATTAGTGATAATTAATTTCAACTTCAACTAATTATAATTCCAAATAGTTCTAAACTCATTAGTGAGTTGATAGCTAATATGAACTTTGACTATAGACTTATTTTAAACGAAAGGCAATATGTTGCCATCCTCAATAAAGATGTACCTCGTATTCACATGAAAATTCACAGTAAAAATTTTCTAAATGGATATTAATAAAGTTAAAAATGTAAAGATAAATGATTATTGAACATTATTTTATTTGAAATGAAGGATAAAAATTTTCAAAATCATTAGATTAAGAAACGTCTCCTTCGATTATATTAAGTAGAAAAGAAACATGTAGTTATTTAATTGTAAGTATGTACTGTTAGATGGCCGGGTGTCAGAAGAATTACTTTTAATGGAATGTAAACTGACACATAAGATGATCTACAAAAGATAACACAATCAGTATGTGCACAAATAAGTAATACATGTAAGAATAAAATGTTTTTTCCCAGTAAAAGTTAAATATTTACTAAAGGAAATTGTTTTCTTTTATAGTGAAAATCTTTATTAATCTTTAAATAACTTGATACAAAGATTAATCTATATTGTTTGATCGGTTTATGTCAGCCATATACTGTTATATTTTTTTTCCTAATATTTTTTAGATTGTTCATTATAACATGTCGATGGTGAGTGAAAGAGAACGATATTTATACGATTTTACGTGTGAATTATGAACACCTAAAAAAAAAAGAAGCAAATTGAAAAAGTTACTGGAATCTACAAAAAAGAAAGTTACTACTATCTACTAAATTACTGCCTACTAGATCTATAATAATTGTTTCTAACAGACAAATTTAGCAGAAAAACGCATCATTGACAAAATCTTAAAATGTTTCCCAGTTTAATATGATGGATAGTTTCTTACTCAATTGAAATATTTTATAAATTACGTACAGATGAATGAATACTACCAGTCAACATTGAATCGCGTGTTATGTTATACTGAAAAAATATTTTTCGAATCCACTGTATTTAAACGCACGCATTGGTACTTTAGAGGATAAAGAGGGCATTATAGATAAACTATTGACTATAGAATATAGAAAAAATAATTCATATTAAGTATTATTATATAAGTTTCTTTAAAAATGATTCGCCGTTCAATTTTCTACAAGAATCTATCAAAAGATTGTAGGATTAATGTAAAAGTGAGAAATTATATGAAAAGTTTTGAAGCATTCCGAGATGGTAAACTTCTTTAATCTAAAAGCTGTTTTTTTTTCAGTTTTATTCAATGTCCATTTCAGAGGCCAGAGAATCTATCCATAAGAATAAAAAAACGTCCTTCGATGGAAAAATTCTTATAAAATTATCCAGTAGTATCAAAATATTTTCCTTACAATTGCCGTCTGAGTAAACGAATATTTTCTACACTTCTGACAGAGATCAAGAAAACTAATTAGCCATCTTGCAGCCCTTGGGAAACTCTTATCTTTCAATATAATCAGTGCCATGAGAAAGAAAAAAAAGTAGATCTGATAATGCTTCGGAGAGTGGAGCAAAATTAAAAAGCAGGTGAGCTATACATTACATCGATCGTCGCGATGTCCGGTATAATATAAAATTTTCTCGGATAAAATTCTGTTACATACAAGACATTTTTCTTTTTACATCGCAAAAAATGAATAGTTTCCATCGCGAGTTTAGGGCTTCTAGAAAAAATCGTATAATACCTGATTGAATAATGAGAAACCGACAAGAGAGAAATTTCGTATTTCAGAGCGCGTTTAAATATATACGTCCTTATCAGCAAATAATTGTGGTTAAACATTCTATAACAAGCATGACAAGAAAAAATGTACTTGAAAATATATAAAAAGTGAGTTTAGCCTATTTTTATTGACGATATGATGGTCGAAAAAAATTCAAATTCTTCTTACGAATTCAAGAAGTTTGAAATTCTTTAGAAATTTTCATATAATTTCTCAACTTTATCTGAATTCAACGACCTTTCTGATAGATTCTCATAAAGAATCAAAAGGCTAATTTTAAAAAAATTACCCCCACGGGTAAGAAAAATTGAAAATACTAATTAATCATTATTTCTGCCACATTTATTAATAGCAAAGGAATCGACATAAATTGCTTTTTAAAAGTCTTTCTTGAGATCACCGGAAATAAGGAAATGTTTTTTTCCTAATGTTAACTACAAAATTAGGTTCAGTAGAAAAAATGGATATATTTCGAAATTTTAACGTTAGTTGAATGGATATTGAATATGCAAATTTATTTTACAACCGCTCATCTAGTTACAGAAAGTTTAAGCGTAATCAAAAGAATTATTTCATTACAAACAAAGTAGAGTTTAAAAATCAAGCAAGATATTGAGTAAATTATGGTATTTTTAAATTTTTAATAACTTTTCAATCAAAACTTATTCAAAAAATGACAGGCTACACTATATTTAGAGATACATGGTTCGCACTGTTCATAATAATGAAGAAAATTTATCTGAATAACATCTTGCCGTTTTTCATTCAAGTATACAACAACATGCGATAGGAGCAGAAGCCTTTCATGTACCCTTGAGTTCCTATCGAACGCCAAACTGTTGACTGTCTCGTCAAATTTCAAATATAAAATAAAAACGAATAAGGGGCAGGTTAAGTGCATGAAGGTAACTTGACGATTGCGACAATTTAATTGTTTTGTGTTATTTTTTATTTCATCGTCAACTCTATTATATCTTTTTCTCTTTAATCGAGAAAAAAGCTTCGTGGATTGGTTAAAGTGTTCAACAAATCAGAAATAAAATGTATAGATACCCTCGGTTTAATCAATTTCGCAAAAAAGGCTAGTATGCTTCAGATCTGTTTTGTGTAAGATACGTTTCTATTTGTAAAAGAACACTTCTGGTCAATATAACATCAACACTCATTCCCATGGCGCCACTTTATTTCTAAGTTCAAGCATTACGCATGACATTACATAACGAATTATCGTAGTGATTAGACTTAGACAAATGTTTACGGAAGTCCAGAATACCTGGAATTTTTTGCAAATAAAAAAGGTGCTTACCAAGTAATTTAATAACTGCAGCTTCGTGATAAAACTTTGTACGTACGTGCATAGGCGGCGCGCCATAGTAGCAAGGGGTAGCAATTGCTATCCCTATAGAAAATTAGGGGTAACAATAGAAAGTTATTGCTACCCCTAATAACACATATTCTGGGAGTTGTTAGAAGAAGTGGAAGCTGGGAGTTGTTATTATTTATTAAAATTATGAGTTTAAAAAATTTATTGCTACCCCTAGGAACTTTAACTTGCGCCGCCTATGCGTACGTGCGACATGTATGCAAGTATTCGATGTACCTGGTACGTGTTAAATCTGGAGCATTCGACCAGTGGTTAACAAAGTACTTTTGAAAATTTGCTAGTAACTAAGTACTTGCTCTCAGATGTATTCGCTAAGGTTTTATACAACAATAGGTATAATAATAGTCGCTCACATCTCTGTACTCTAAGAGTTGGGATTTTGAATAACTATTTCTCAACCTTCTATATCTACTCATTCAACATTTAATTCTTCCTCAAGTACTTTTCTTCTCTATTCTCTAATACTATCGAAAGATAGTATATGCTACAGGCCTTATAAAAGTAGTCTGTTTGTAATGGAGTGATACTTAACTTTTATGCTTTGCTATGTGTATACTTATGTTTGCGTCTTTCATTGTTTTCGCAGCGGATTCAATTCTCATGTTTAAAATAGATTTTCGAATAGTGAAGCAAGTAGAACAGTATATCTTGAATAAAATCATCACATCTAGTGAAGTGAAATTTATGCTGTTATGTGCACTCGATTTATTTTAAGCATAATTATCTCTCTCAAAATATCTCTACAAACTCAATCAATAGCAGTTGAAAATAGAACTTGTTATGGTTCGTATGTATCTGCCACAACGCTAGAATATTTAAAGGGCGATGTTAGTTTAGTCCAACCTCTCCCACGCGACTGTGGACATGAGTTTTCTTGTAATTTTTATCTGAGTCGATCATCAGCATTAGGAGCTAATGGACCATTAGGGTAAGCATCTGGTATTTCTAGTTAGCATGAATTATTGTTTTCCGATCTTTTTAGTGCTTATGGACCTCTAGGAACACTAGGACCAATAGGAAAACATATCTGGAATCCCAAAATGTGGATCGATGCTGTTCGAGGTAGTGCTCCATCATCCGTATTTTATGCACTGCTATCCAATAACGGTCCTCTGGGTTCTCACGGTCCGCTGAGTTCTCACGGTCCGCTTTCTCTCAATTCTTACTACAGAGTATTACCACTGATTAATGATTTTGGTAAGCAATTACAAGCATTAGGTATCTGGGCCGTATTAGGGCCTTTAGGGCCATTGGGTGCCCTAGGTCCATTAGGTGCTTTAGGTCCGACCAGTACGCCGAGATACCACGCAAGAACAACAACTGTACGATGGGAAGACGATAATGGCAATAAAACGTTTGAGTTTGTTGAAGAATACGGTGAGATGGATGCAAAGCAAATGAATGATAATGATTGTTCATTTCTGGTAGAGGGCATCGTTAGTTCTCATGCTGAGGTAGATTCGTTTCAATTTACGTGTAACTCGTCTCAATTTGTTACGATTGTTCTGGTGCCCGAGCATAGTCTAGATCATTTTGGTCTTACACTTTATTCGACGGATAATGATCACGTCCCGATAGCCTCAAGCCAGTCTGTTACCTATGTTAATTTCATTCAACTTGGCTTATTACGTAAGACAACGTTTCGAGCTGATGTTAATTTGGTCAGATCCGATCAGTTTTTACTCCCATTTTCCTATCGATTAATAGTTACGGGATCAACAAACTTATTCGACGTTAACAAAGTCGATATACAAGGTCCTCATATTGTAAAATATTAAAATAAATAGAAGTTGTTTTGTCTCATATAATGGGAATAAATTTTACGGTTTTTCTATAACAAAGGCACTCGTTAAGCAAACCATCGGAAGAAATCGTCTTTTTCTTTCAACATTTGGAATTCAATTGCCGTTAAGAATTCGACCAAAAATATCGTTTCAATGACCCTATGCATACACTCTACTTCCCTACTAAGAGGTCAACGATGTTGATAAAGCTTAAAATGCCCAACACTAAAAAGACTGCAGGTAGACAATTTCAACATTCAACCTATGAAATAGTTTTGATACTCTAACGCGCATTAGTAGGAGCTAAACAAAAGAAAAATTTAACTCGTGCACACTAGTTAAATCTTGTTGAATGCATGCAAATGCGTTATTTTTCAAACTTAAATAGGACTGCACATTAATTCTAATACGTCCCAACGCACTTTTATAAAAAAATATAAAAACTACGCCCAAACTTATTAATCACGAAAATTTTAAAACTTTAACGCGTTAGAACCACGTTAAATGTTTTATATTCGGTGATTCAAACGAGTTAGAAATTGTAGCTTGTGATATCGCTTCCGAGTGTTTCCATTCAAGTCCGCCCAGTTTATACAAGCATTCCATGAAATAATTTGAAGCGGCTAACTAGCGTTAGAACCCGCGGGTTAATTCACCTATTTAACCCGTTAAAATATGGAAATTAATCTGCGTGAACGCAGTTTTCATAGTTTCTTTTTACGAAACACCCTCCCCATTAATCGTAAAGCGTTCAAAATTGTTTCTGTTCTCATTCTAAATGCAGTTAGAAGCGCTTCGAATAACATTTCAAATCAAAATATAAGTCTAAAGCGCTCGACTGCGTTTCTATTCCTTTCGCCTTTTCGATCAGTTTTTTGTCTGTTGATGGATCTCAACACTCTAAAAAAAATCGTAGATTAATAAACTACAATAAAAGAGTTTTTTGGACTAAAAAACTGATAAAAAAACTTTGTTTCACAAAATTCAGAGGAAGAAAAAAAATATCAGACACGTGCTACTAGAGAGAATGAAAAGAATCTTCTGAATTCGAAATGTGCAAGATATTTATAGAGTCACATACGGTAATTCTGATAATCGCCTAAAACTTTTCAGATATTTTGAGCATATTTAAGTCAATTCAAATTAGTAGAATCATTAAGCTACAGCCTAAATTAGCAATTAGCTCATCGATATTTGAACTTTTCATGTACACTATAAAATCCTCTTCCTATCGAGAGAGGACAAACAAAAAACATCATATCTAACTTTAATTATTTTACTTAGCAGAGAATTGGTGACAGCCTGAAAACTAATTTTCGTAAAACTCGCTTTTCGGTAGATTTTTAAAAGTTTTCTGAAAATAAATATTGCAACGAGACTCAGCATAAGATTCTGAACAACTTTGTTAGTATAGCATCGCAATTGGGTTCTGAGAGACAGTGAAGATTTTTTTCCTATCTATCGGTGTGATTTACACTGGAGTATCATAATTTCCCCGTTAAAAATAGCTGTGTTATCATCATTGCCCCAAAGAAGACAAATAAAAAAATGACTATGTCTCTTACTTTTCGTAATTTTTATTTAACTGATTTAGATTAAGTCAAAATGACTGACAATTCGTATGGGAGATAGAGCAGAAAATTCTCTACAAGATGGTGTACTTTTTAGTCAGTTTACTCCAAGTTTCCTGTTGAAACTAAATGGTTTAAAGTCTTTCCAGCTATTTTGGCTATAGTTATCATCAGGGGTCTCAAATTACTTTTTTCGAATGTGGGACAGAAAGTTCGGAATGGGGAAAAAATGGGGGACGCTTATTTTAACGAAATAACGTCATGTCAATCTAAATACCCGATGAGCTTTTTCCTTTCAATTAGGTTTTATCGACAAATTCATATCACACGTCTGGTAAACCCTGGTACACCCACGACAGGAAGAGTGATGTTTCTGGGGACGGCTCGCGATTCTCAGAATAACTCTATTTGCTACAAACTATCCAAACACCTATATGATAATGATCTGTATGACAAGATATGTTAAAGAGGGCATAAAGCTTTGCATATTATGTAATAACCCGCCAATCTTTTCATCTCAAATATGACGCTGAAGTAGTAGGACTTCAAATAAACTGCCAGTGGGGGACGAAATATGTCCCCCATGGGAGATTTATTTATTGGGGGACAAAATGGTCGAACGGGAAACTGTCCCCCTCAATGGAGGACATCTGAGAATCCTGGTTATCATTATTGCCTCAAGAAAAATAGTTGCGTTATCACAGTTACCCCAAATGGGGGAATTATGATAATTCTAAACCTATTCACTGGAAATTGATTATACCTAATTAATGTTAAAAAATTTTAGGAAAACTTTTACATCAGTAGATAGCTAAGAGTCAGCTGTATCTACTTGCATAATACTGATTTTCTCCGGTGAAAGATAACTTAAATATGCTCAAAGTATCTGAATGGTTTTAGGCGATTATCAGAATTAACCCATGTGACTCTAGTACAATAAGGATCAAGGTCACATTGCAACTATCACTACAAGAACAGACGGTACTATGTTCGTCGCAAATATCAGAATCAACGTATGATAACTAAGGTCTTAAGGAGGCTCTTTGATCAAATGCTATTGAAAAACTAGTCAACTTTGTCCAAAAAGGAGGAAAAGGAGGAGAAAATTTTATTTAGGAGGAATGAGGAGGAAAGGAGGACGAGTACGATGCCAGTAGACTAGTCTCCCATATCGAGTTTCTTTTTAAAATACCGTCGGTATACCACACCGCTCGGTATACTGCGTGGTTAACCGACGGTAACTTTTTAGACCGCAGTCTAAAAAAATATCGCACGGTAACGATTTTTATCCGTTCACCATGTATTTTGCACTCATGAAGATATAAAAGAAACACAAAAAAATTCGAGAAACTTGATTGCTTCTTCAGATTAAACTTTTTTCTTAGATCATATAGACCCGTCGCAGTTTGAACTTTGACTCGAGTCATATTTCTCTCAGTCGAGAGCCTGTCTGCGTTTACAAGTACTCAACAATAAAAAAAGAAAGTTGAAAATTAGTTTCGAACTCCTGTTCTACGTTACGTGTTCGTAATGTCAAAATATTAGACGGTACCGCTGGTTATACCGCCAGTATACAATGACAGATGGCGGGATTACCGCCGGTATTTTCGTTTACTATGGCGGTATACCGCCCGGTAACCGTCGGCACTTTGCCGATATTAAACTGACTATAATTCTAACTGCGGTAGATAGAACGAGTTTTCTTTCTTTCTATCTACATCAGTGGTGGAATGAGCCCCAGACATCGATTCTTATATAAAAATCGATCGTCTTACAAGTTTCTTATCGAAATCTTATCAGTTTCCTATATAAGATTGTTTAAGATTTTCCGCTGACAGTCGTAAGTGTCTTATAAGATTTTCATAAGAGGTTCGTAAGAAATTCATAAGAAGTCTTATGAAGTTTTTCAGTCAATAGAAGCAACTTAATCATAACAGAAATCAGCACGATTAACTCATAAGCTGCTCTTATTACTGTCGATGGGAAATCTTAAATAATCTTATATAAGAAACTGATAAGATTCCGCTAAGAATCTTATCAGTTTTACCAAAAAAATTTTGTCTAGGGTGATAAATTGACCTCTTTGGAAATCTTGATGACGAAACCGAGAAGAGGTGAAGTGATGTGTGTTAACCACTACACAATGGACAATTTTGACTAGGCACGTGGACATGTGCCATAGAAGTTATACAAAGCCGCTAAACACTATATCTATAGGTTTTCGTGTGCGCTCTTGCGATTGGTGTGATTTACAAGGTCAAAAATGTTTTTACCAGGGCTTTCCAGATATCCGGTCGTTGGAAAACCTGACTAAAAGTGATTTCAAACTTTGTAAATAACACTATTTGAAAGACCACATGCGAAAACCTATGTAAATAGTTTTCGTAGGCTTTCAAGCTGCTTTTAAATAAAAATCCTAGTGCCTAGCCAAAATTGCTACGGGAATGCTGCAAATTTGTCATTTCATTAAATCGAACGATTTTTTGTACATAAAAAGATATAAATGACATATCACTCGATGCGCTGATTCTAAATATATCATTAGTTCTT